AAATAAAAAACACTCGATAAACGCGGGATACATCCAAAATTAGAAGCCACAACACTTCAGGGTCAAAGGTGGCCATTATTTTACCTCTTCTATGGGGCGCTACATCGTACAATGTTTGCGATTTTTGTTGCTTGGCTTATATATTTCTGTCAAAGTAATAGATCCAGTAGACTAAATCGCTTCTTAAGTCATAAAGCTTTTCATCCTGTAGCAGCACTCAGTTACATGGTAAAGTTTTTTTTATTTTTTAAAATGTACATGGAAACAGATGAAAATGTTACCAAGCAGATAGTGAGTAACAAACGTACTGTGAGTGTGAAGCTGAAGATGTAGTTTCTTTCTTCCTTCTTTGATGAAGTCTATTAGAATACAATGTTTTAAATGACAGCCACATCGACAGATTTCGTTTTGGTTTGAATTTTAAGCAGTATTAAGCATATTCAGATGATATTGATGTAAAATAAGTTTCACATATCTTTTTTATCATGATTTTTAGAACCACTAAACTGTCACTACAGCCTTACTCACAAAACTGTCGTAAATTTTTTGCACTGTTAAAGTTTACAAAAATATTCATATACAAAGCATAAACTACAAATTTTTTTTTAGATTTATTTAATACATGTTCCTGTGGTATATGCATTCCTTTTCGATTTGGAATTCCCTTTTCAATACAAAGGAGTCACTGACGTTTTAAGAATTTTTCTTCGTTCATTCCTTGTGACTGTCAGTTTCTCACTGACTTCCTCACTCTGTTGGGAATATCCTGCTGTTACTTTGCAACAAGTCTTTGCCGACAGAAACAGGATGAAGCACAAAAAGCTGAGCCAAAAAATTGCATCAGAACTTACGGTCGACGAAACCAAAAATGGAGTTCTACTACTAAATCATCAGCCGTGGCCTGCACATCTAAAACATCGTAATCAGGAAAACCATGAATCTGCACATAAAGAACCACCATCGTCCAACTTAGTGAACAATATTCGACACAGAACGACGACTTCGCAGCAGCAAAACTCGCTGGATTCTTGAATTTCGACTAATTCAACCTTGCTACAAACTCTAGAAGAAAATAGTTAGCCATTTACTGCAAAAGAATTGCTAAATATCTGGCACTATTCATTAATACAAGTTGTTCTACAGCCTGGTAAAATGGTCGGGGCTGCTTCCCTGTAAAATTTGCCAACTGTTGGTAATAGTTTTGTCCTGCAAAAGATCACTGAGTATTGTGGGAAAAGCCTTACAGAATAAACGCCTTTATTCCGGTTTTATGCGTCACGCAAAGAAAAAAGTTCAGCTTTATTTCAGTAAGAAACCATTTTGTGAAAGTGAAGAATTCACTAAAGTGCACTTTTTTGAAGTTTTATGTATCTAAAATAACGATAGTCTCAAATACCAGACTTTTTAATGCTTGTTAAACAGTGTTGTGGTATGGAAAACAAAACTAATTTTTACAGTTTAGTGAATTTCCATACGTTATTTTTTTCTTCTCTCAACCGCGAGGAAATTTACCCTTTAACATGACATATATTGAGACAGTGTAATATTAAACTGACAAAGAGGTGGTTAAGAAGCTTTAACTAAGAACCTTATTTCAATAGATCTTTTTCAAGTGCAATAACAACTGGCAACTTCCGTTTTTTCAATAAACCAATGACCATTTGCCCTTTTTGAAACCGTAGTGGCTGCTTAAATATGATTCCCAAAGTACAGGCATAGACAGTAAAAAATAGCAAAAAGACCTTTTCATTTATAATACTCCTATAAATTTTAAAAATAAAATTTCTGTTTGAATGATACCCATAATAAATGAGTAAAAATTTGAAGCATTTTTAATTGGTGTAAACAAACGCACAAATACACGTACAGCTACACGTACATGTACACACCTACACACGTGAACATACACGCAAACTCACAAGCAAAAAAACACACAACACACGCACACAGACACACATACACACATACATACGTACATACATATATACAAGAAAATGTAAAAATTGCGACAAAAACATTCATTGAATAATTCAAAATGATATGATTAGATGACGAGAAACAGAAACAGTGACCCGAGAGAGGTACCTTATTTTGAACACATTCAGTACAATATGTAGGTTCTAAACGACAACAACTTTCAGTATGACATCTGTTGTTGCTTCCTCTACTGAAGGTTCGTAGGGGGCTTCGCAGCTGTCCCGACGAAGCGGCAGGAAACAAATGCACTACAAATACCAAAACCGAGTTATTCGCAGAGCATGCAGATTCGTGGACAGCCCAGTGCAAAAGAAAATTGATTGAAGACGTAAGTCTAGAAGACATGTTAATCATCACGAAACTGAAGAAATGGACAGCGTTTCACGCGTCTTCGCCGAACATGGAGGAAATAGATCATGCGAACTTATCGAAGCCTGTGAAGAACCTGGTGTTGTGACATCAACAAATTCGATGTGTAAATGCGATGGCTCGTAGGCTCTGTTTTGCAAATTGATTTTTTTTGGCCGTTTCATTAAGATCGACTGACTTTCCAAGCTCATCAGTAGTGCAAGATTTGAGAAGGAGTCAACTTGACCGTGGCCAGAAAGGCGGAAGCGACCTCGAGTTAGCTGGGCAAAGTGCGCCATCTAAAATAAGCCAAATAAAAAATGACCTTTCAAGAAGGATCTTATTGGAAAACCATCAAGGAAAAGAATAGAGTCAAAAGCTTAAATTAAATAGACATCGCACAAAGCGTCGAACAAATTTGAATTTTACGCATAGTCCTGAAAAAATTTCAAACCTGAAAATTAATCTTGAAAAAAATTTTTTATTTCACCTTGCTAGCAAATTTTCTTGCATTTCCCATTTTCCGACCCATATAGTGAATCTGATTAATCACTTCACTAGCTACGATTTCAACCGTAATTGTTACTAATGTGACTCCAAGTATTATAAATATAATCAGAGTGGGTATTGGTATTGGAGGCTGAAATAGCTATAATCGCTGGGATGTTAAAAGTTCGGCAAGAATTTCATACAAAAATTTGAATTAATTTTTCAGCTGCATATAACTATGTTTTTGCTGTTTAGTAATTTATCACTTTTCCAAATCATCAAAAAGCCTGAAAAAAACACTATAAATTTTTCTAGGAAATACTTGGTCCCAATTTTCATGCTGAAGTTTCTATAAATCTTCGGTTTATCAAAGCTATGATTTAGAACTCTCATGGAATTATCTGCAATAATTTTGGTATGGGCACAAATAAGAAGCGCCTTAGCATTGGCTGACCGGAGTATCACCATATCCAATCGTGAAAACGGTTGTTATCGAGAAGTGTATAGAGTCCAATAGACTTATTGTGGAAGTGAAATGGAACAACAAAGCGCATATCACAATGTAAAAAGCCAAAAGTACCAAACAACACATAGCGCCTAACCCAGGAATTTTCTAAAACATTAGGCTCTATTAAATAAGAATTATCCAAAAGTTTCATCATTTTGGTACTGCTGTGCAGTTTATGCACATTATGCTGCTTAGCAGTTTGTTAAGAAGAACCTCAAAAAAATTTAGCATATGTGGACTCATAAATTCGCCAATATCGGTGACTGTGACCAGTGCTAGCGGTGCCCCAAACATTCCATAAATAATGATCAACAGACGACCAATTTTCGTCGTTGGTGTCACGAAGCCGTACCCTAAATAAAAGAGTGAAAAGTTAGTTGAAGATAATGGAGATTTTTCTGAACGGTATAAAGTTTTCCTCAACTAAATGTCAGTTTAACCGTTGCTCGATGCTGTTTTCGACATCACTCACCAACAGGAATTACTGTGGTTGCTGCAAACAGAAATGATGACATTGGAGTCCACTGATTTTCGCCGGAATTATACATGTCCAGATATGTGCCAAAAAAAGCATCCATCTGAAAAACTGCTTATTGGGAAAGTGAACAATATAAGATTTATAATATAAAGATATTATATTTTCTTCTGGAAAAGTGGATACCTGAGGATCCTCTAAAAGCATCAACAATTCTTCAATGTAATCATCTACATACGCTGATAAATCGTATTTTTCGCTACTTTTCATAAATGTCTTATCAATTAGTCTCTAAAATTCCCACAGTTAAAGACGTTTTTAAACATTTTTGAGCTATTAAATCAATAGAACTACGAAACTGATTGAAAAAAATTAAAATTAGTTATTAATTCATTCTTGATTTAACCCAGTTGCTGAATATTTTGCCGTAAAGAGTTGGTAACTTTTTTTTTCAGTTGTAACATTAAATTTTGACAAAGACAAACTTATATTGAACAAAAATTGTTATGTATTTCAACAAAAAAAATTTAACGATAAAGATTTAAAGTGAAGGAAGATGGTTGCTGGTTTTGTCAAATTTATTAGGCGTTTCAGCACTATAAAACTGGCTAAACTCTTAAAATTTTTGCTTTAATAAGAATTATAACGCAGCAATAAGGTAGACGAACAAGCCTACAGCTGCAAACCTGTCTTATAGAGACCCCATGATCTTAAAAAGTGCTAACGAAACCTTATTATTATTCAACCTAAAAAATTTGAAAAAATTTTAAAGCGACATTTAGATAGGTTCAATTGTTTTCTAAAGCTAAGCAAAAGCAATTTAAAATGAACTATTAACTACCTATTTTCTATTCGACTTTTATTCATAAATGTGGGGGTAATCTACAAAGTTAAACAGTAAGAAAGAAATTCTTTGTTGCTACGCCATACCTGTTTCACACGTTCATAATGTTCTAATGCTGCACGTCGAGAACTTAGTTCGTTGGGTTGTTCAATTTGATAGAATAACAATGCACCAAAACAAACATATACAATTGAGCATGTTGCTAAACCGACATGCGGTAAAGCTGTACGTAACTAAAAGATGACACTTATAATTAACCAACTAAAAGATATTATTATATTGAAATTTGAAGCTAAGAAGATCAGGAATTGTTATTGCCTACCGGTTTCTTTAATCTGCTTGGAATAGAGAACATTTTTTGAACACTCTTTGACGCAGCCTCAGCAGCACCAACAGCAGAATGATCTACACGCCAAAGTATTGCTTTGAATCTTGTGCCTCATAGAAGAATATCCCTGTAAAATTTCCACCTATTTGTCAGCAATATCTGTAGGTTTTCATTCATTTTTCCGTCAAACTTAATCCACAATTTTTTTTTCGGTCACTAAGGAACTTGAGAAATCAATTGTTATTCAATTGAAAATCTATGCGACTAGCAATAATCAGCGGCTTAAGGATCTGTTGACGTCTTCTGCTAAAAAAATGGTCAGACTGTTTATCATTTGGGAATAACAGTGACAAAAGTTCTACTTTCCAAAAAAATGAAATAAAATTAGGCTTTTTCAAACAGAACCTTTTAATTCAGTATTGTCGTAAATACCATTTAGGAGTTAACAGTCAAAAAAAAGGTAAAAGTCAAATTCATTCGGATTTTGATTACAGCTTTTTTGAACTTCAAAAGCACAGAAAAAAATTACACTGAAAATCAATAGCGTTTAATACAGCTGTGAAAGATGATACACCAATTAAATAATTGAAACTTTCTTTGAAAGGTCAGAGAATACTTGTAAAAATTTTTGCTATTATTGATGGAAAGGAATAGTTTTATTTTTTTTGGTTTTAAAAAAATTGCTTTCTATTTGCAAAATTTTTGCTACAACTCTTCAGAAAGCAACTTACAGTATCACTGATGTTCAGAAATATAAAATTCCTTTCGTTTTTTTTTTTTTTTTTTTTTTT